GCTTCGGTCTTATATGACTTTGTGGGTGTTTTTGTGTATATGTGTTCACTGGTATTGGTTGTGTGCATCCTAACTATACAGAGGCCGAGTGTGTGCTCGTTATGTTTGTATCTTCTTGATGCTCTATTTGAGTGGATAAAAACCACCCTTTATCAAAAAAAGGTCGGGGTTTGTAGTGCTATGCGAACAATACTTTGCGTGTGCGTAGGTGTTGTTTACCGAGTGGAGATTCCTCTTCTCTCACATGATTGTTTCTTCTTTATCCACATGTTGCTCAAAATTAGAGTGTATGGTGCGTCAAAAATTAGGAGAGAGAGTATTCAATTGACATTTTCAGACAAAGAGCGTGAGAGAGAATGTGTGAAGCAAGCGAGTTAGGAGAGAGAAGAGAGAGCCTGGTTCGGCCTCATTTTGGCCACAAAGCAACAACCTTCCTATAACCTAGCTAGCCACCCGGCTCAAAACATCGAGTCAACCCCATGTTTTGAAACACCCACAACCTGCAAACACGTTTGCATGGCTCATAACTACGCACACATCTCAGTGTTCAACAATGGCTAGGATAAGTGGTGTGGGTAAGCCCAGGAGTAGTCACACATTTCCCTATTTCACAAAAAAAAAAGTGGACTTTCTACTCTTGGATGTGGGTACACCCTCTATCCACGCCATTCGCCACAGGTTGTTGTTCACTCGTGATGTAGACAATGTGCATGTGGTCGGGCTGATTTGAAAGGATGTGGGTCGAACTTGCAAGAGTCTTGCAGTGCTATGCGGACAGTATTTTGCATGCGGACAGATATATAGAGAAGTGATGATCGACTATTAATGAAAAAACACCATGCATGTTGAGGTGGGCCTTTGATAAGGTGGCATGAGTAGTGATGCATGTTGAGGTGGGCCTTTGATGAGGTGATGTAAGTAGTGATGTAGTATGTCTGTATGTTGAGAGAATTTAGTAGTGGAGATCAACTACTTAGATCTATATAAAGGATATGTTAATGTGTATTCGCATATTTAGACCATGAGAATATGGTGAACCTGCATACCGGATCGTTATACATTGAGGTTGCTAAATGTCAGATCATAACTAGGTGATCGTAAAAGTAACTTATAGGTATACCAGAAAAGTATGTCATGGTGCTTGTTGTAATTTACTATATGTCGGGGATATACCCCACGGTGTAACCCGGCTGGATGTATAACCCGGATGGATCTTGGTGACTCACTGGTGACCCGCCCGGAGCTTGGCGACTCACGAGTAACCTACCCGATCTTGGAGACTCGTTAATAAACCGGCGTGCGGGTCAGACGGATGACAAGGCCCAAGGCCCAGTATGCCGGTTCGTATGATGGTGGGCCGGTTTAAGAGGAAAGCATAAGGAATATTCCCTTACAAAGGAAGCAAGACTAGGACTCCACTTGTAATAGAGTAATCCTAATCCTAATAGGACTAGTCATATAAGCCGCCCCTTCAACATATATAAGGAGGGGCGGGGCTCCCCAAGAGGGACATGTTCCACAAGTTTCACAAGTTAGGTTTAGATAGACAAGTCAATAGCTCTCGAGAAAGAACACCCTTGTAATCGTGATCATCATCATCAATATCAATGAAGCAGCATGTAGACTTTTACCTCCACCGTGAGGGGCCAAACCTGGGTAAAAGCCTCGTGTCTCTCGTCCCGTTCAACCACTCTCAAGTTACCACATAGATGCGTTGGCCTTACGACTAAGTCCTCACACTAGGACATCTGCAGTGACAATTCCACGACAGTTGGCGCCCACCATAGAGCTTGCGTATGATGGTGTTGAGTTCTTGAAGAAATCTCTTTAGGGATCGAGAAGCTCATGAATAGACGGATGAAGAAGAGCCGGCTTTGAACAATCGCGCAGGGTAACGCGAGGCCGGACAACCTTGAGCGCAGCTGGTGGTATTCATCGTGTTGATTAAACTTTGGAGCCATCAGGTACAAGATTATGATCACAAGAAAGGTAGGGTTGCGTCCGCTCCGCCGCAACCGTCCAAAAAAGTAGTCGAGACCGAGATTAAAACTTTCCGTTGTAGTTTTTTCCTTTTTGGATTAGGGGACATATACACCGAGGCCGACGCGAAGTCATCTTGTGCTATGGTCAAGTCGCCGTAAGCTTTGTTTTCCTCCAATCGATCAAGTTAGGTACACCGTATACGCACATGCAAGGGATCAGACCAGCTGCGGTGTCCTCTGTTTGTACGAGACAACAGTAGCAATCCTACTACTTCAAATTAGTACTCTGCCACGAGTTGGCCAAAGTTGATCTACAAATTTTCTATTGGCCAAAACTGCTACAGGGGGAGCGACCAGATCGGATCTGCCTTTGCAAATTTATACAGAAAATATACACCAAGAAGACTGAAGTTATTATGTGGTCAGACAATCCATCATGATACTAGATGATGTTGCTAATACGCAAGTGGTCAAAGGTCAAAATACTATGAGTCAGCGAGAAAAAAAAAGGGGAGCCAACGAGGGGGGGAGATCGCGGACTTGACCTCGGCAATTGTGGCCCATCTTGCCCTGACCTCGCCTCGCCTTGCTGAACGACTCGCCTCGCTCCAGCTGACTTGACTCGACTCCGTATAGCCCTGTAGTGTTGGGATGTAAGCCGCCGTTGTCTGAGCCGCCCCCGCACGGACCTCGCGTCGAGCTGCGCGCTTCTGTCGGCGCGCCTCCGCTGTCAAGCCGCCTTCACCGGCTGTTGTTGTGCCTGACTCTCCTGCGGTCACCTCCCGCAAGTCGCCATTGCAGGTGCGCCGGCCGCCTCCCGTACCGAGCGCTG